CTTTCTTCTTCAGTTTGCCCCTGAAGAAGAAAGGTCCACCTTTCGAAAGCGCTCTGGTTATAGGGTTTTTATCTATTTGTATAGGATCTTTTGAATATCCGTAGAAAATTCAAAAGTTTTACTATATTTCTATAATAAAACTTATAAAACTGCGATAGTTTAATCATTTAATTTTAAATATGTAACTCAGCGTTTAATCACGTGATAAAGTCTGTTCAGTTAGTCCGATCACACATTCAGTGTCCAATAACGTGACCAAGTTTGTGCACTTAGTTGAAGGACGTGATTGTATCTGTTTATTTAGTCAAATCATGCGTTTGGACCTATTCGGTTAGTAAAATCACGTGATCGAATCTGTTAAGTTAGACAAATCACATCATCGGGTCTGCTTAAGTAGTTGAGTCACGTGATTGTTTAGTCCAATTACGTGATTGGATCTGTTCAGTTAGTACAGTCGTGTGTGTTTGTCTCTTCAGTTAGCCAAGCCTTGATTGGGTTTATTCAGTCATCCAAGCTATGATACATTTAGTTAGCCAAGTCATACTTGGATATATTCAGTTATTAGAGTCATATGATTGGGTGATTTTAGTCACTCTAGTCATGGAATTTAGCCTATTCTATTATAAACTCATTTTTATATGTTATAACATAAACAGTACCTTGCTTGAGGAATTATACAACTTGGAATTGTAACAGAAGCTCGTCTTCGAACTTTGGTACTGGTTGATGGCGACGTTCCTTCAGTTGGATGTGAGATCTCTAAGCCGAATGTGGGACTTTCAGGCAGTTGGGAGGTTTGTAAAACTTCAGGTTGGGTAGAGGAGGAGGGGGTTTGTTCGGGTTTCAGATGTTCCACTTGAAGAAAGGTAGGCTCATGCTGGGTTATTGGCGGGCTAGGGTAACTGGAGGATACATAAGTAGCAGATGCAGCATGGGGAAATGGAGCGACTGGGGAAATAAGGGGCGATTCTTTCGTTCTGTAAAACCCCATTGGCTCTGAAGGCTGGAAGGGGAAAGGTGAGGTTGAAGGTTCTAAACCAATAAGCGAGGACGGAAAGCTCTCAGTCGTCGTACTAGTTGGTTCAAGTTGTTCCGCCGATATTTCCTTGTACTTAAAGGTGAAAACCGTTGACTGTGCCGTCTCTCGGCGATACCTTGGAGAATACGTTTCTTGAAAGCTGGGGAGGATACCTCCAGCAGTAACCATTACCGAGGGGTCGTCTTGAAAGATGGGAAGAGTGCTTGCTGCGGTAACCATTACGGTGGGGTCAGACAAAGGAGTTGTGGTGGCTGAACAGGTCATCATAGCAGTGAATTCTGTCTGTAAAATATCCTCCAAGCTTTTGACCGCTGGTATCACCTCAAAACTTTCCACAGGTTCGTCAAACTCCAAAGCTGGTAGTTTGAATGACTCTCCTGTAAAGCTCTCTTCGGACAACGGCATGGTGTCCTCTGGACCCACGAGGCTACTCAGGACAGCAAAAGGAACACCCTGTAATAAGCACATTCCCATTGATTTAACTTTGAAAATAGGTTCCTCGGGGTTTTTTCTAGTATAAAAAGACAAAAACAAATTGAATGTCTACTATACGTTTCTTTGCAAATAATATAATATAATAGACCGTCAAGTCCCTAAATATCTACAATAAAACATCAACAACAGACCAACAACAGTGATGTCCCAAATCGACTAAAGTAAGACTCATCATGTAGTGGAATTAAATCCTATCTGAGAACTGATGTTAGTTTTATATTGTATCTAAGACTGTGGGTATCATAGCTACTAATCTTATTGAGATACAATATAAAACTATCATCAGTTCTCAGATAGGATTAGTAAAGACTGTGGATATCATAGCTATTAATCTTATTGTTACTAATCCTATCTGAGAACTGATGATAGTTTTATATTGTATCTAAGAATGTGGGTATCATAGCTACTAATTCTATTGTTACTAGTCCTATCTGAGAACTGATGATAGTTTTATATTGTATCTAAGACTGTGGGTATCATAGCTACTAATCCTATCTGAGAACTGATGATAGTTTTATATTGTATCTAACACTGTGGGTATCATAGCTACTAATCCTATTGTTACTCCGTCGCCAAAAGGTTTGTCTGTTTAGAAATTTTGTGCAAAGCTACACAAGAGCTCTCAGTGCATATCCTTCCTTATAATTTTGAAGTAGAGGGAAGGCAGCTATTCAGCAGCATAAACCGCTAACTGTCTATCTGTTCTTGTCCAATAGAGATCTAACCGTTAATCTTATAGCACACTCATGGCTTCCAAGTACGGAATGCGGTTTTTTTTCAATAACGTGGCGTGAACCATTGAAAGTTCAGGCACAGCTAATCAATGGGTCAAGCCCATCCGAATAGAACGTTCGAAGATGAAACCTCAAGAATAGGGAGTTCAGATAAAATATAAGTCAAATTTGTCTTTAGGGAATGAAAAATATGACCTATAATTAGGTCTAACAACTCTCTCACAAATAACAAACCCTACAAAAATAAAATAAAAAATAATGTGCATTAGAATTCATGTGCCTGAATGTAATAAAAACTTAATATTGTTTAGAGGTCAAGGTCATTATTAAGGTAAAAGGTGAGTAATCCAAGTAAAGTAAGTCTCATATCATAGTTGATGAACTTTGTAACAAACGTAATTAAAATTATAGTATCATCTTATAAATTTATTTGCTTTTTATGAAGTATCAAGTAAACTGATCTTGAGGGTAAGGACTTAACGTAATTCAAAACACCTTTAGAGCAAGGACTTAAAACATGATTCAAAATACCTTTAGAGCAAGGACTTAAAACATGATTCAAAATACCTTTAGAGCAAGTACTTGACACACGATTCTTTATTGATAAGAGATCTTTACGGTAGGTACTTACAACATGATTCTCCAGGGAAGAGCCTTAATAATAACGAATTAAACATTATTTTCACTAAATTACCGCTATATCAAGAATTCAAAAACATGATTCAGATTACACAAGCCTGCGATGGTTTTATTGTTTGAAATGTTTACATGTTCTACAGTAATTCCTGTGCGCTGAACTCGTAAATGATATCCATTTTTCTCCATCATGTACAGATTTTTCACAAAACGTCATATGTACTTGTACATAGGTGAATCATTTTCATAGAAATCGGGTCACGTTTTGCTATGCTATGAATTTCTCTAGACAAATAGCGATGTGAGATATCGATCGTTCTAGAACCCACGAGAGACACACCGTCAGTATATAAATGGTTAACAGGCCACATGACGTGTCATTTCTGGATAGTATTTGTTTGTGCGTGCACTTTGACATTATGGTTTTCTTTTCAATATTATTTATTCGTCGCTACAGAAACAAGAGGTTGTGTAAATTATTCAAACACATTCTGTAATACTTGTGGTAAATTTGTTGTAAAGAAACAAGGGCAAAACATTAAATAATTCGTCAAAAAAGCGTATTATGCGTGTTTTGGAATAAAACTTGGGAACCAAGACAAATCATAAGCTCCACACAAAGTTTGCATCATTTGTGTCGAAGAGTTGAGACAAAGAATTAAAGGTAAGAAAAAGTCTTTGTATTTTGGAATTCCAATGGTCTAGGGTGAGTCTAGAAACCATGGAGACGACTGCTATTTTTGCTCATGTGACGTTCAAGGCTACAACATTCGAAATAAAAAGGGAATTTCTTATCTGCTATAAGGCCTGTTGCTCATGTACCTGATGCACCTGTATCTACTTCACTGGAGGCTCTTGATACAGTTTCATCTGATTCTGAATCTGATGTCAATAGAAATGATGATAGGGATTGTTTTCAAACTGAAACGTCTAATGAACACCATAACTTTACAAACAACGTGAACTTAATGATTTGGTGAGAGATTTGGGATTTCCAAGAAATTATTCAGAGATTTTGGGGTCTAGACTTTGGGCTCAGAATTTGCTTTCTCCAGGGACATAATTTTACTGGTACATATTTATTATTTCCCTGAAAATTTCGGTGTCATGAGCGAAGAACAAAGGGAAAGGTTTCATCAAGACATCAGGGAAATGGAGAGGAGGTATCAGGGAAGATGGAACATCACCATAATGGCTGATTACTGCTAGTCTCTGAAACGATATGCTCCAGACGCAATACATAAACGAAAGACCACAAGACGTAATTTTGGGACTAAAAGCCATAGACTTCATAGAAAAAATCCGGATGAATGAGGATGCATATTCGTTTGACATCAATGTTCCTCCCTCTTCTTCAGTCTGTTTGTATTTTTGTTAACAAACATAATATTAAAAAAAATTCATTGTGGTAAACGAAATAATAATTTGATCTACGTAAAACATTCTTACGTGATAGAAAACAAAATAATATTATTTTCGAAATCAACGTAGCTTAATTATAGAAGATACGTTATTAAAACCAACCTTCATAAAAGTTGTTTTAAGTTCGCAGGCCTGTGTTATTGATGTTCAGTCAATTTTCTAACTTCTACAAAACTTAGTGTAAGAGACTTGAATTATTCACCTCAGACTGTTGAAGTAGAAACATGGTGGCTTTCTCTGGTGAGCTCGCTGTTTCTCTGGTGGTGGTGGTGGTAGTGACGCTTAAGCTGGATGAAGGACCCCCCGGACTTGGGGCAGTTATTACACTTTTCTGAATTAATGAAGCAGTTGCTGTCGTTGAAACTGGTTCTGGACTTAAATCATCCGGAACTAAAAAAATACAATTCAATTTTTAGCTTTAAAGAATCTTTAAAATTAAATACTGCAATTATTTCTCACTAGACTTTGGATAAACTTGCTTAAAAATGAAGTATAACTTAAAACCCAAGGAATTTTCTTTTTACTTACGTCACAATAATTTCACGTAACACCAAGGAATACTGTTATAACCTTCGTCACCACAGTTTCACGTAACACCAAGAAATGCTGTTATAACTTACGTCACCACATGTTTCACGTAACACCAAGAAATGCTGTTATAACTTACGTCACCACATGTTTCACGTAACACCAAGGAATACTGTTATAACTTTCGTCACCACATGTTTCACGTAACACCAAGAAATGCTGTTATAACTTACGTCACCACATGTTTCACGTAACACCAAGAAATACTGTTATAGCTTTCGTCACCACAGTTTCACGTAACACCAAGAAATGCTGTTATAACTTACGTCACCACATGTTTCACGTAACACCAAGAAATACTGTTATAACTTTCGTCACCACATGTTTCACGTAACACCAAGGAATACAGTTATAGCTTTCGTCACCACAGTTTCACGTAACACCAAGAAATGCTGTTATAACTTACGTCACCACATGTTCCACGAAAAAAAGTCCCAAAATTCGAGCGTTTTCGAATTGTTGACTATTCGTCTTCAGAACATAAAGAAAAATAGTCATTTATTGGAAAGCGCTCGAGTTTTAGGCCAGTTTTGAAATGCATTACTTAAGTTATAGCAGTATTCCTTGGTGTTGAAGTTCATTGCACCTTTTGTGTGTGATCCTGTGTGCTAACTCTTTCATCAGAATAACTTGAGTGATTTATTTACTATTATGTCAAGATCCTTCAGTCATACTATTTAGTAAGTTCCCATCCATATTAAACGTATGCTCCAAGTTCTTTAAATTATATGTACTATAATTAAAGGTCATATATCTTCGTCCAACTTATCAGGTGATCCAAGTCACTGTGTGATATACTTAACACCAAAATCTCTTCGAACATCCGAGTTGAACTACTAGGTTTTTTAGTTACGATTGGATGAGATCACCGCAGTATTGTTACAGGTTGAGTGTTATGAAAATAAAATTAAACCATAGTTATGTTTGATTCAACAAAGGTATGTTGGATGAGATATTGTTACAGACCGAGTATTCTGATGATTGAATAGCTCAAGACAGGTGATATTCAATATAAACTATGCAGGTTTTTTATATACGGATGGACAATATTTTTTACAATAGGTGTCTGAAACTTGTTGGTGATAAATTTCAACAATAAATAAACAGCACATAGTCCATTTGTTTTAAAATAGTATATTAAAACAAGTCAAACGTATATACAAATGTTCGATACACAGTTAACTACCACAGTTTTATCCATAACGTTAAATAACAAACGTCAACACAGGTTGGTTTAATTACTTTATAACACAATTGACAAGACAAATTATTCTCCTCTACTCTGTTGTTACAATACAATCTGCGATAACTTCACTTTAAAAAACGCCACTGTACGCTCTTTGCGACTAAACTCACAAACACACAATCTAGCTCTAGTTATCCATCTAAGTAGCTAACTGTTTATCTTGAGCTACATAACTAACAGCTATAGTGTATGATATTGCTTATACATCTTGTTTCCATGGCCAGGTTATGAAATACTATTTTCTGTTGTATATATTCCGAAATTACTAAAACTCTATACTATCTATATCTATACTGGAAGGAAGCAAACAAAGAAATATCTGAAAAATAAAAAAAAAACGTCACCAGTCAAGATGCTTTATAATCATATAAAACACATGAAGTGAAAAAAGGAAGAAAAATAATTGAATGAGAGACAGATATAGAAAAGAGAGTTGAATAAAATTAGGAACTACGTATAAGAGAAACAGAATGGGAGATAGACTTAGAAGACATAAAAAGAAACAGCTGATTGATAAACTATTGACGTAAGCGACAGATATAAAAATGGAGACAAATATAAAAGATAAAGAGAAATGAGAGAAAAATAAATAATTGAAAAATGAATATAACTTTTGACGCGAGAGTCAGAAGAAGAAAGACAGCCATAAGACAGAAAAAATAAGTGATAATTTGAATTATAAAATACAATTTAACTACTTTTATAAGAGTATCGAAACCCGGATTTTGGCGTTGTAAGTCCGCAGACATACCGCTGTGCCACTGGGGGGCGATAAACAAGAAACAGGTATTTTAAAGGAGAGAGATAAATGGTTGAACGACAAGAAAACCATAGATGTAAGAGAAAGAAAAAATCGAGATAGACAGATATATTTACAAAAATAGAGATTGTTTGATGATTTTCGTTCAATGCTGCCCCAGGACTATCTGCGCTAGTCATCCCTAACGAAGGAAGGCAGGTAGTCAACATCACTCACTGCCAACTCCTGTGCGACTCTAATTGAATAATGGGATTTGACAGTTACATTTATACGCATCTACGACCCTAAAGTGAATAATGCGATTTCTATGTCTGTTTCTTATTTTTTGCGATATGGGGGGTGTGATTCACGAAACCTCAGATTTATAGTCCGGTACGCTAAATAATGGGTCACGCTCGGCATAGAGAACAAGAGAAGGAAAAGATGACCGATATTATCAAAATTTACAAAAAACAAGACAAGTAAACGAAAAACGTATAAGAGAAGAGAGATAAGATATAAATGTTAAGAAAAAGGCTAAAATGAATGAAAATTAATCGATGTTCATGAAATACAGGAAAAAGTGAAGAAGCAGAAATAAAGAGATGCTTTAGATATGTTGAAGAATTAAACATATGACAAAGAGAGCTGAAAGATAAACACAAGGTACAGTTTTTCAGAACTAGAAATATAAAAGGTGACACAGTAAGATTAAGTGAGGTAGAAAATATGGAAATGGGATTATAGATTTAACTGTAGTAGGATTATAGTTTTAACTGTAGTGGGATTATAGACTTAAGTGTAGTGAGATTATACTTTTAACTGTAGTGGGGTTATAGACTTAAGTGTAGTGGGATTATAGTTTTAACTGTAGTGGGGTTATAGACTTAAGTGTAGTGAGATTATAGATTTAACTGTAGTAGAATTATAGTTTTAACTGTAGTGGGATTATAGACTTAAGTGTAGTGAGATTATAGTTTTAACTGTAGTGGGGTTATAGACTTAAGTGTAGTGGGATTATAGTTTTAACTGTAGTATGATTATAGACTTAAGTGTAGTGAGATTATAGATTTAACTGTAGTAGAATTATAGACTTAAGTGTAGTGGGATTATAGTTTTAACTGTAGTGGGGTTATAGTTTTAACTGTAGTGGGATTATAGATTTAACTGTAGTGGGATTATAGTTTTAACTGTAGTAGGATTATAGACTTAAGTGTAGTGGGATTATAGTTTTAACTGTAGTGGGATTATAGACTTAAGTGTAGTGGGATTATAGTTTTAACTGTAGTGGGGTTATAGATTCAACTGTAGAGCGATTATATATTTAAGTGTAATGGGAATAAGGATTTAACCGTAGTGGTATTATGAATATAACTATATTATAGTTTTAAGTGTACAATGTTCGTATAACAAATAGGCTAAACTTCGAATATTTGAAATGGTATGCACGTGCGAGAAACAATAGCAGCGAGATCTACTGTTCTAATAATGCATTTTGCTGTAACAAGAAAAAAAAAAGGCTTTCAAGATCAAAATACATAATGTCGGAGTCGCCCCACGCAGGTAATGATTTTGTTGGGTTAAAAAACACCAATGTGCACCTGTTGGTTTAAAAGTTTCTTTGTAAGATAATTAAGCAGAAGGAAGTTATATTTACATACTATACATAAACGCTTCTTTTTTGGTAAATCTTTCATCAAATTCCAATTAGCTAAGCCTAAACCTCTTTCACCAAGTTGCAATTTGCTAAGCCTAAAATGGCTCTTTAGATATGCAGTATTAATATTAGCCACCAAAAAATATAAAGATCTACAGAGAGTTCTAATATTAATAAAAAAGTATGAAAGTTCTACAACCGGAAAGTGTTAAAGTTCTACATTGTTTTATTATCAACCAGAAAATGTCAAAGTTCTACATTGTTTTACTATCAACCATAAAGTGTTAAAGTTCTACATTGTTTTATTATCAACCATAAAGTATTAAAGTTCTACATTGTTTTATTATCAACCAGAAAGTGTTAAAGTTCTACATTGTTTTACTATCAACCATAAAGTGTTAAAGTTCTACATTGTTTTATTATCAACCAGAAAGTGCCAAAGTTCAATATTGTTCTACTGTCAACCAGAAAGTGTCAAAGTTCAACATTGTTCTACTGTCAACCAATAAGTGTCAATGTTCTACATTGCTTTATTATCAACCAGAAAGTGTCAAAGTTCAACATTGTTCTACTGTCAACCAATAAATGTCAAAGTTCTACATTGTTTTATTATCAACCAGAAAGTGTTAAAGTTCTACATTGTTTTATTATCAACCAGAAAGTGTCAATCGGAAAAGAAACCATGATCGATATCATACTGAAACGCCGAATATTCCCGCTAGTTCTAGGTCCGAGCCCCGAATCTTCTAAGCAACTAGCGACGCCTCTGCTTTAAATGACATTTACTTCAAAAGATAAAATATTAATCACAGAGTTCAGAGCTTTAGCAGTCAGTGTTCTAGAGCATTAAGGACGGAAAAGTTCCTACAGTAACAGGAAAGATAATTTAGGGACTAAATTTGTTCAAATCACTACGCCTACTTTATAACTGAAGAAAGGTTCGTATACGTATATTAATTTAGTCTCGCCATAATGGGATTCATGATCATTGCGAAACTAATTGGTTGACTTTATGAGGCCTTAATTGAGTCGATATTTTTGGCTTACAAACACCAGTTTAATCTTTATTAAGAATTAATTAACTAAAAAAAACCCTATTACGAATATTCTTTGGAAAGGATGACAAGACCCTCGGTCTCTAAGGCACAGGAAATGTCACA